TTTCAAAGCAGATGGTCCACGATTTTAACCTTTTCATCACCTTGCAGCTTCACATACAAATACTATTTTTGTGCTTCCACCAGTCCCATAAAAGACGACTTTAATTTCCCTCGAACTGCTCCTTTCTTTGTCCTCACATTTCAAGTGTCCTAGACTGGAACCATGAGTTGCGTCTATTGTCATTAAAATTTATGAATTCCATTCAATTAAACGAGACAATTCCGTTTGTTTGTTGTGGTATTTCGTCTTTTTAAGACATTGCAGCGTTTACTTCGTTAATTAACGCTGGCTTCTGTGACCACAATGGTTGCTCAATGTTTTGCTCTTGCTAAAACCGTTTCTTTGTTATGAAAGCGATTTTATTTTAATATAGACTGTAAACATAAAGAGGGAGACTGTTATTGAATTAAATAAACCTTCGCCCTCATTCAATTTAAGGTGGCGCTATGTGTAATTGTGGTAGTTTAGCGTATGGCTGTCTTTGATCTTCACACGTTCATCGCCCTTCAGGGTTTTCTGCTATTTGTCTCCGAGCAGAACCCACGCCATCTCAGATCTACTAAAGTTTGAGAATTCAGAGCTGTAGCAAAGAGATTTTTTGTAGGATGAAGGGGCAGGGTCACTTTTCACACAGTCTTAGGTACAAAGATATGTAATTTTCAAAATAATTAAAATTATTCAATGGCAACGTACCTATATTTTCTTGTTGAAGTCGAATGCCGAGCTTTGAGTATTAAGTGAATTACCACGTCCCAAAATTGTCAACTTTAATGACAATTATTATTTTTTTCAAGTGGGGAAGTTGAAAGTTGAAGTGAAAAAATCCCCCCTTCCCCCTCCCTACCCATTACTCCACCAATAGTTTTGGCGATGGGATACCATGAGCTATGACCGGGTGGTACTATGCATTTCCAGGCTATATAATATTTTTTGACAAAAAAAAATTAGTTACCGGATGAAACCGGGTTTTTCAGACAGGTGAAATGAATAGAAATTGGGAAAAAATAATTAAAACAGCTGAATCTTTCCGCGGGTGAAATCACGGGGGTTGAAAGGGGAGGAAAGTGGTGTTTTGCAAATTGTGGCAAAACTATTAATTTTAGACGAAAATGTTAAATGTAAAAGTTATACAGATTAAAAAAATGAGCAACTTTTGTATCTGCACTATTTTCACATAACCTCCAATTTTCTTAGAAAAACCGGAAAAACTGTTTTTTTCGTTTTTTATTCTTATTTTTGCGAAAAAATGTCGTAGGGGTTTGAAATTTGGAGGAAACATAGCTTGTTATATGATAAAAAAGATGATTTTTGGGCCTGTAAAGTTGAACCGTTTCCAAGATCTCACGATTTCTGAAAAAAAAACACCTCTTTTTCGAGGGGATGAAAAATCTATTTTTTTTCATCGTACAGAGGTGCGCGGGGTAGCAAAATTTTCGGGAAGACTTATATTTTAATAAACAAAAATAAAAAAATATTATTCCTATAGCAAAAATTCAAGAAAATCGCCATAAACTGGAAAAACAGTTTTAAGACGGTTTTTGCCATGATAAATCAACATGTTGGATGTTAATAAAGATTTTTTCGAAATCTGTCTTCTTGCTTCTTTAATGTTTGCTTGAATGTTCTCTTTTGTTATCTTATGCTCAACTGGTTTAGTTAAAACATCTTTATTATTTATTTCTTCTGCATTTTTACCGTAATAAAAGCAATTCGAAATAAAATCGGATTATCTTGCTTCCTGATCCCTGAACAATTCCTTCCTACCTGTTTTATAGCTGTTGCAATTGCGTTGGGCCTGTTGAAAACTTTATGAGGATTTTATTCATAATTCCTATAAAACGATCAACAGGACCAGCTTATTCCCATAAGCTGTAAAACAGGCAGGAAGAAGAGTTATTGAACAAAAACAAATTGTTCGAGAGGCAAAAGAATTCGATTTTACTTCGAATTGCTTTTATTGCGGCAAAAATCAGAAAAAAGAAATAATAAAGATGTTTTAATTAAGGCAGTTGGGCACTGGGAAATAAAAGAACATATTTTAGCAACATTAAAGAGGGGAGAGAAGACAGATTTCAAAAACTTTTTATTAGCGCGTTAATTTATTTGCAAGAAAAGCTATTTACCTACTGTCAAAAACGGTATATCTTAAAACTGTTCCCCACGTTTTTGCCGCTTTTCTTAAAATTTTTCTATTGGAATAATATTTTTGATTTTTGATTATTAAAATGTAAGTCGTTACGAAAACTTTGCTACCCCACGCACCTCTGTATGATGAGAAAAAATAGATTTTTCATCCCCTCGAAAAATAGGTCGTTTTTTTCAGAAATCGTGAGATCTTGGAAACGGTTCAACTTTACAGGACCAAAAAATTATCTTCTTTTTTATCATAAAACAAGCTGGTTTCCTCCAAATTTCAAACCCCTGCGCCATTTTTTCGCAAAAATAAGAATAAAAAACGAAAAAAACAAATTTTCCGGTTTTTCTAGGAAAATTGGAGGTTATGTGAAAATAGTGTAGATACAAAAGTTGCTCATTTTTTTAATCTCTATAACTTTTACATTTAACATTTTCGTCTAAAATTAATAGTTTTGCCACAATTTACAAAACACCACTTTCCACCCCTTTCAACCCCCGTGATTTCACCCACAGAAAACTTCAGCTGTTTTAATTATTTTTTCCCAATTTCTATTCATTTCACCTGCCTGAAAAACCCGGTTTCGCCCGGTAACTAATTTTTTTGAAACTAAATTATTTTAGAGCTATTTAGCCTGGACTACGACAAATTTAAGCAGAGCTTAGCTTAAGCGTCCCTTAAAATCCATGGCAACGATTATTGAGACCATGGTTTCCATGGATTTTAAGGGACGCTTAAGCTAAGCTCCGCTTAAATTTGTCGGTGCAAACGGGCATCAGTGATATAAAGTCACATTAAAAGCCTTCTACGGTTTCTATGGTAATTAAGAAATTAAATTCCGGATAGAAAATTCTAATTCATTTCTCTGGAAAATTGTGTAGATTGCAAATGTTTCACAAAAGGTTTATAAAGAGATTCTATACTGGAAAAAAACTGTCATTTGTATAGGGTGTTCAAAAAGTAATTGTTAACGGTTTTTGAGTTGCGATGTACTCAACAAAAGCCACGTTTCATGTTTGCAATAATTAATTAATAATATAATTATGGGTATATCGACAACCATCGATAAGTATCGATATTTCTAAACTAAAACGGCGATATCGATACATTCATAATAAAGTATTGATATAATTGTCGAATGTTATCGATACTATTAGTTTGTAAAACGCAATACAACCACTAAGGTAATTTATTGGTGAAGGATCTGCATTCGATTTTTGAAATGCTTGGGGCGAGATCTGTGAATGTCTATGCGTATATCAAGTAGATATTCAAAACCGCAAATGCGGGGCGTGATTTCTTTAATCAATATCCGCATTTATTTCGGTAATTGAGTGTTTCTCATATTTCCAAGCACGTACAATGTACAGTACGCAACCCAATTTTCTTATATTATGTTATCAAAAATCTCTAAACCTTCCCCATATAGTTTTATTCGTTGAAGTTTTTAAAAATAACAGCGACTATAGTTTCGGCGTACTGCCATCATCAGGCGATGTGAAAGTTAACAGGAAAACAGTAAATTACAAACGTTGAAGACGGATAAGACGAACATGTTGTTTTTTTAATTATTAACTGGCCGAAGCCAAGTGAAAAACCTGAAGGGTGGTTAAAACGGAAAGGTTGTCCTAAGTTTCAAGACGAATTAATTATCAAGCCTTGTTAAGACAACCAACCGGGGGGTTGAATTTTTACATTAAAGTTGAAAAATTGGGTTAACACATTTCAAAAGAACGGGGGGGAAAAATAAACTTATAAAAGTATTGAAACTATTAAGATGACTACATATTTAAATTATTTAAGTAAAGTTTAAATTCGAGATCATGCAGACGGCATGTCTCGAAATGATGTTCAACTTTAATGTAAAAATTCAACCCCCCGGTTGGTTGTCTTAACAAGGCTTGATAATTAATTCGTCTTGAAACTTAGGACAACCTTTCCGTTTTAACCACCCTTCAGGTTCTTCACTTGGCTTCGGCCAGTTTATAATTAAAAAAAAACAACATGTTCGTCTTATCCGTCTTCAACGTTTGTAATTTACCGTTTTCCTGTTAACTTTCACATCGCCTGATGATGGTAGTACGCCGAAACTATAGTCGCTTTTAACTTTAAAAACTTCAACGAATAAAACTATATGGGGAAGGTTTAGAGATTTTTGATAACATAATATATTTCAACCCCCATTTCGAGGAACGATGGATCCAACTCAAAAAAAAAAAAAAACCAATTTTCTTAATGGATCTTGCTCACTTGAATCGCAAGTTAGTACTAGTACCTTAGTGATTATACATTAATTATCAAAGTTGGTACTTCAAAAATCAAAAGCAAGTAGGTAATTGAACGAATAAGAGTTGGTAAACATGGAACATCTGGCGATCGAGATTACACATAGAATAAGCTGTTGTTTTTAATAATCCTCGAAAAATATTATCTCTATACTTAATCGTTCTCCAGTAAATACTAGACCTGTCTTTGACTGAGATTCTGACATTTGATTAAAAACCTAATAAACTCCGAAAGGGGTCATTGAATTTGGTCCTTTGTCAATATGGGCTTGTTACATATGGTAGGTATATAGGTCAATTGTGCAAAATTTGAACCGAATCGGCCCAAGCGTTTGGCAGTTCACGCGGACAGACGGGAACTCCCTTATAAAGCCTCCACCGCTTTGCTCTGGGATGACTTATTGTACGCACCCTATTAATCCAATCAATTTATTCCATTTTCAAATTAAATTAAATTACTGAACATAAAAGATTGACCTCCAAAAATACGGCTAATATTGATAATTTTTTTAAAGCGATCGAAATTGTACAACTTCCACTTTAGCTCTTTATGGGAATCTTACAATTTTGTTTTGTTACAGCGTGATGGGATGATCGGGTTAGAAGAATGTGGGCCTGCGCCCCCTCGAGCGCCGCCTTCTTCAAATAGAGCTCGAGAGCGTACGGCCCAAGCGGTAGATTACTACAACACCCATCTACAACGAGCACGTGTGAATGCCGGTCTATCAGCGCCACGCTCATCATACAACGATCGACATCATCATCACAACGTCATACCAAAACGTCAGCATCTATCGCCCGACCTTTTGTATCGAAGTAACTCCAGCCTGGAGTTGGTCGATCATCACGTGCGACCATCGAACACCTCTTCGCCGACGCTTAAACGCGAATACGGCAGTCACGGCTCGATCGACATTATCGATCGTCCAGCACCGATTTCGGGGACGAGCGAATCGTTCTTTGCCATGCTGCAGGATTACAGACCGACGGTACTTGGCGCTAATGGAACCGATCAACGATCGCCCGGACCATCGGAGTATCTCCGCGGCAAAGTCGACGCCGAAAATAGTTCAAATTCGTTAATAAGTGACGACACACTAAATTCGCATCCTCAAAGTCCGAAGTTACGCGTCAAGCTTCCAAAATTTTGGGGTTCGGGTAGTGTTAGTGGTAGCTCCTTAAAAAGTCAAAGACAGGCGATGGATGATAGTGTCGTTAGTTCGTCTACAATTAATTCCAGTATTTCATTACCCACAGACTCCGACGAAATTCAACGGAGACGAGCGTTTGTGCATTACGACTGTCAATCGCTCACGACTAATTTAAGTTATTCCGTCCGTATACGTAAGAATTTATTATCGAAACGACGCAACACCACAACCGGCGCGTCTGCTGCGTCTATGATCGCTAGGTCGTCAACGCCCGACGGGGAGAATGGGGATGAGGATTCCGGCGATGGGCACAGCAACGATTTGGTGGAGAACTGTCCGTTTTTTCGCAACGAAGTCGGTGGCGAGGAGGAACGGGTAGTGAGTTTGACCAGGGTACAAAATGGACAACAGAATCCGAACAGAAGACGACCTTTACATCGACCTCCATTAGCATATGGAGTGGCCGTTTTGGAATTTCCTAATGGTGAGACGCACTGGAGGCACTCTACCTGTCCCTACCAAAGACTACCTAGGCCCATCGAGAGTGTGGACCAAGGCGCTTTGTATTACCGAAAGTATTTTTTGGGTCAAGGTAAGTTGAAGTAAATAAAGCCTTTGTCGAGATCAACGACCACTATGTCGCGTTTATAACAGTACGCCTATTTAAAACATCTTACAGCGCGTGCAATTTTGATTGGTCATTTTAAATGCAAATAAATAACTTCCTTCTTTACTTCAGACCATCAAAACTGGTTTGGCATGGATGAACAGTTGGGTCCAGTGGCATTGTCGATACGTCGTGAAAAAGTCACTCATCAAGACAATCACGCGAATCCCCTGATGCAGCATCAGTATCGTCTTATAATCCGCACATCCGAACTACTTACGCTACGCGGTGCTATTCTGGAGGACGCCATTCCGAACATAAAGCAATCGAGTGGCAAAACGATGAGCGTTAAGGAAGTGCTCGAATACGTCTCGCCCGAAATACAAATTAACTGCTTACGATTGGGCAATCAAAGTCAGCAGCAGATGGAAGAGCAGCTGCTCAAGCTCGATGAACAGGGTTTAACTAGCAATTATAAGGTTGGTGTGATGTATTGTAGGGCAGGTCAGTCGTCGGAGGAGGAAATGTACAATAATGAGGACGCGGGACCGGCGTTTCAAGAATTTTTGGATACGATCGGAAAGAAAGTTAGATTAAAGGGATTCGATAAATATAAGGCTGGATTGGATAACAAATGTAAGTTTATTTATTTTGTAATTGATTTACAACCCTTCCGCGTCTTTGAAATTATCTACAAAATCAAACCTGTTTAATTGGTAACTTCAATGAGCCAAATTCAAACTAACGACTGCGAAGCAAAATGTACGCGTGGTTCAATTGTTTATAAAAAAAATGGTGGCAACTTAAGGGGACGGGAGGGAGGGAGAATTCGAACAAAAAAAAAACCTTTAGGACGTCTGTTGGCGATATTTTTCTATCTGGAGGTTTTTTGTTAGAAACTTGTAGAGTGTACCCCATTTTGTCGTAGATAGACCTTTGATTTCGCACGCCAGGGCCGTAGCTAGAGGGGGGACAAGAGCTCTTGAAATCCATTTTGCCCGCTCTTGAAAATTGCTTAATATGACGCAATGAAGCATGCTCATAAATTGACAAATATAAAGAAAAGCTCCTGGTATTCGGAATTGGACAATTTCACGTTTGTGTATAAATTATTTTCTCTGTGAAAGTGGCCGTATTTGGTCGTTAGTATGGGGCTTCTAAACTATACGCGATAGAAAAAATTGACCTCGCAGTCTCAATGTATTTTTTAAAAAATAAATTCGATGTTAAAAACCAAACTGTCCTATTCAAATGGGACTGAGTAAGAATTTTTAACACTACTCCAGGAGGGGCGGGGGTTTGTATGATCATGATCTATTGAAACAAGACGGCGGAAAGATGGGATCCGATGGGATTGAGCATAGATTCTGTTTTTTTAATCTATGGATTGTAAGTAAGAATCTTCAGTACTATCCTGCGCGGTATCCGTAGAGGCTAAGGGTAATGCAAACGGCAATATTTTTCCGTCAAAGTCGCCATTGAAGCAGGGGTAGGCGCGGCTCTTCGGATATGGTTTTTCGGCGCTACTTCGAATGTTACACTGATATTCTAGGCCAGGCCCCAGAGGGTTTGACCTTGCAAATTTCTGAGACAAAGACCCATGATGCAGGGTTTATGTTTTTTGGGTCGCTGAATCCGAATTTGACATTTGCACAAAAATCCGGATGACGCGGGAGCCGCCATCTTGAAAAAATGGCGGAAAATCGGCGGTTTTTCTACAAAACGCGAAATAACTCATTTGGTATCGGATTTTTGGCGATGAAACATCAGTAATAAATTAGAGTACATAAAATTTCCTTTGAGATGAGCCCTTGCTGATGAAAATCGGATAAAAATAACGCCACTACAGTGCGACGAAATTCGGCCCAAAAAGGACGTTTCGCAATTTTCAAAATTTTACGGAACGGAACTGACGTCATTCACGAGCAGTAAGCTCTGCGAATGTGAGGATATTTTGAAGAACATCCAATTGTATCCCTAATTTTGGCAATCATCGACGTAAGATTGTTCTTTTAGTGTGGTTTTTTGATTTTTTATATCCTTATTGGCTGTTTCGTCAGAAACTCGGCATTCGTTATTCAAATGCATAATTGGGCAGCATTTAACGAAAGAGAACCAACTTTTTTGCTACATTTCAAAACCATGTAAGCTGAACTTAGCTTAAGGGTAGCTTCAAAATCCATGACAACCATTGTCTCAATAATCGTTGTCATGGATTTTAAGCAACGCTTAAGCTAAGCTCAGCTTATATTTGTCGGTGCAAATGGCCATTAGTTATGTTTTTCCTTTTTTTCTAGTGCGTTTTCGGTGATTGAGCGTTCAATATGGAACCAGAAAGCATAAAAAAGTGTTTCATTTGTGAAAAAGACTTAAATAATGATGTAAGTGTAGTGCTTCAGCGCGGAATAGAAACTCTTATAAATTCCGGCAAAAAGCGAAAAGACAACAGTTCGAGTTTAGCAAAAAGAATCGAATGGGGACGCTCCTGACGGGAGGGTCCAGATAGAAAATTTGGAAATTTAAATAGAAAATACCGAAAACTCTTTATAACAATTTGTTACAGTACAGAGGTTGACAACCCTTGTTCGTATTATTAACTTTTTTCAATCACTATCGTTACTTGACAACAACAACAACAAACCATCCTCTACAAAACCAGAACGACCACCAGCATGATCTATAATGTACCTCTGACCATCCCTATTGGATTGATAAACTCCCGATACTTCATCGGATTGCCAGCATTTACTCACTCCATACGATGGGTGGATATAAGTCTCATCCAAGTACCTATATACTTAAGTTTCTTAAATACCGAAAACGTCATACTATACTACGATGTCACTTTCCTACGTTTATCACGACACTTTTTATATAAAAAAATATCAAAAAGTTTCAACAATTCCTTGCTTCCACCCGTATAGTTGATCTTTTCTTACATTTTTTCTACGAGCACGTTCAAAATTGGCACCCTCGTTGGTACCTAATCTACGGTCCTAGTGTATACATATTTTTTGTACAGTCCTTAAAATACACAGATTAACTTAATTTAAATCGACACAACCTGGGCGCCAGGGGTTTTAGTGAGTAAGGCCTTTTTAATCATTCAATGCATAAATCACGTTGTAAATTGTGAATAAAAATTTTAAAACTTTAGATATGATCTTGATACTCATTTCACCGTGAATGCGCTAATTTCGGCGAAAGAAGTAGGTTCGGGCGATAAAAGTGGAGGACTGCAAAAATAAGCAAATTTTCGATTTTATCTTGGATTTTATCGAAAAAACATTGGAATGATGTCAATTTTCGTCTGATTTAAACACACTTGGGCTCATTTTAAAGGTAATTGGATGTTCTTCAAAACCTACTCACGTTCGGAGAGCTTACTGCTTATGAATGACTTCAGTTCCGTTTTTTTGCGCGCGAAATATGGAAAATTGCGAAAACTTCATTTTTGGGCCGAATTTCGTCGCACTGCAGTGGCGTTAGTTTTTATCCGATTTTCATCAACAAGGGCTTATCCCAAAGGAAATGTTATGTGCTTTAATTTATTACTGATGTTTCTTCGCCAAAAAACCGATACCAAATGAGTTATTTCGGGTTTTGTGGAAAAACCGCCGATTTTCCGCCATTTTTCCAAGATGGCGGCTCCCGCGTCATGCGGATTTTTGTGCAAATGTCAAATTCGGATTCAGCGACCCAAAAAACATAAACCCTGCATCATGGGTCTTTGTCTCAGAAATTTGCAAGGTGCACCCCTGTTTTGAGCTCTAGGGCCTGGACTATTCTGATACAAATTAATAATAATTTCTCAATGCACTCTCGTTTGGCATTTTCCACGGAAAAATCTTTTAGATGTGTTCTGATCGTCGATGATTATTATGGAGAATTTGGATCGTGTGATTCCGCGATTTACATTCGCGCCTGACAAAAGGAAATGGAAACAGAATAAATAAGCCTTTATTCCCTACGGAATCTGCCACATTCTTCAGAGGGGATTTTTCAAATTTAAATACGCAAAAAGGATTTTAAAAATCTCTCATTACTTGCGAATTGCTAAAAATACCTACACTTAGCTATAAATAACACAAGTTCACTGTTTGGGCTTGGGGTAAAACGTGAGTGTGGTTCTAGTAAACTCTTAGCCCCCTTCGAAACTTAAATGTTTTTTGTATCAGAGAACAAACTGATAAAAATGCAAGTTTATTTCCTGTGGTATATGGTTTCTTTTTGTTTCAGCCGACTCAACAGGACTATACTCGATCTACTCCCAATATCAAGACTGCGAGATTATGTTTCACGTTTCAACTATGCTTCCATTTACACCAAATAACAGACAACAACTTCTACGAAAAAGACACATAGGAAACGATATAGTTACGATAGTTTTCCAAGAGCCTGGCGCTCTACCTTTTACTCCAAAAAATATTAGATCTCAGTTTCAGCACGTTTTTATCGTCGTCCGAGCGATAAATCCGTGTACTGAAAACACTCATTATACTGTAGCCGTAAGTAGATCGAAGGACGTTCAAGTTTTCGGCCCCCCGATTAAGGATGGCGCAGTTTTTCCCAAAGGAAAGGCGTTCGCCGATTTCTTACTCGCGAAAGTTGTTAATGCGGAAAACGCCGCGCATAGATCTGAAAAGTTTGTTACGATGGCGACGCGAACGAGACAGGAGTACCTTAAGGATTTGGTGTCGAATTTTTCAAGCACGACGCCTGTCGACACTGGGCAAAAATTTTGTAAGTTGACAGTTCCGGGATATTTCTATCGTAACTCTTTTATTTTAGCGATATTTAGCAGTAAGAAGAAGGATAAAATTCGACCACGGTTTATACCAGACGCATGCCAAAGAGGTGCGATTCTGTGGCAGGTCATGCTGGACGATAGCGGTCAATCGCAGCAGATTGAGTGTCTTCTTGGTATTTCAACGGATACCTTGGCTTTGATTGAAGAGCAATCGAGGCAAATTGTGTTTGTAACTCCATGCAAGTCGGTGTTGGGTTGGTCGCCACAAACAAGCAGTCTGAGGATATATCACCACCAAGGTGAATGCATGACCATCCACATGCGCGACGCACATTACGACAGAGATGAACTTATGGAGATAATGGAGCGGTTGAAGGCCGTAACACCCGGCGTTTTAGTGCAAGAATTGTCACTAAAACGTAACATAATGGGGCAGCTAGGTTTCCACGTGCAACCCGATGGTATAGTCACGCTAGTCGAAAGTGCGGGTCAGGCTTGGCAAGCGGGGCTACGGCAAAATTCGCGTCTAGTTGAAATATGCAAGGTGGCGGTTTCAACGCTAACTTATGACCAAATGGTCGATCTACTTAAGACTTCCATGCTCGTTACTCTAACTGTGATACCTCCAATGTCAGATGGATCGCCTCGTAAAGGCTGTGCATTACAAAATTGTAAATATAACGAAGGTAACTATGAAAGTGATTATGAAAATGGTAATACGGATGATTCTAAGAATAGAAAGGCAGCACAATTGCAACAAGCTGTACCTGGTAATCATAAAAAGATTTATGAGAGAAGCTTCTCTCCTCCTAGATCGAGTAGTAGTTCTGGATATGGTACTGGTAGCAGTAGCAAATCTTTTTTAGGGAATGATTCGAGATTTGCGTCTAATCCTGAGGTAAGTTGTCATTTATGGGAAATGGGAAATGTGACATGAGTATTATTTTTAGGGAACAATGACAAGTTCTTCAAGTGGTCATTCTGATGACCGTTGGTATGAATTTATACAGGAAAATCTCGATTTAGAAATGGGGATACCTCCTCCTCTTCCAGTAAAATCCACCCAAAATCGCCCCCATCAATCAAACAACACATATCCCTCAACACCAAAACGTAACAATATTCACCAAATAGCCCATCTGCAAATATCTCAATCACACAACCACTTCGGCCCTCAAAATCTTCAGCACACGAAGATACAAGTAAGCCATTCTTTACCCTTGCAACACGCGAATTATTCAACACCGCTCACAGCCGCTTTGCATAACAGCACCTACGACTACGAAATGAACTACAAGATGGATAAGAATAATTTGTTAAAGCAAGAAAACGACAGGCGAATGCGTCAAGAGACCGAGTATGTAGTGACGAGAGCGCCGAAAGTGGCCGAATACACCACCCTACAGCAATTAAATAGTGATATGGTTAGGAATAATTTATTAATGAACGATGGACATTCCACTGATAGCTCTGTAAGTGATCGACTGTACGGGATTGGAAGCGAGGATGAATTGTCGACGGGGAGCGGAGGTAACGTCTCGCCACGCACAAAGAGATCTACAAAACTAGCGAATTTATCGAATAATAACAGCCGCAATCAAAGTCCTCGCTCGCTAAACGGCGAGGCGAAACTACGTCCCGGGGTTACATCACGTTCATCTAATCGCAACAGCGCCAACTTGGCAACGAGCACCTTTCAGGAGGAATTGATAAGGCTCATAGACCCAGATAGTATCGAAGAGTCGCGCGAGCCTATTAGGTTGAACAAGGAGAATAAATCGGAGCCCGAGGTCATCCTAACGATGGCAAGGCCTGCTACTGTCATTTCAAACTCGAGCACAACTTCTAGTCCTCTTCCTGCCGAATTTAAGATCGCGAAAGATGAGCGATTGTCTCCTCGCGTGACGAGTACGCCGAGCAAGCGGGCAATTGTTGTGGGTCCAGAGGCGCTACCGTTACCCGGGGATATGGATTGGCCCAGCCTTGTTGATACCGCGACACGGGTGATGATGCAAGTTGCTGAGACCTCAAGTTTGGGAAGCGATGATAAAGGAAAGCATTGGCAAGATGATCAGTCGATGGACGCTTCAATTAATTCAGTGTGAGTTTTTTTTACATAATCTCAGTTCTTCTCTAATCCACCACCCATTAAGTTGCTTTTAAACGAAAACTATGCATGAAGTGGTACTTAAATGTATTATTTTTAGGATTAGTTCAAGTGCAAGCGTTCCTGAACTGCAAAATCACGTATGCGAACTGGAAACGAGAGTCTCTGAAGAAACGCGGCGACGCTTATCGCTGGAAGACGAAGTGAGACGTTTAAAAGATGAAAATCGCAAGTTACACGACCAAGCACAAGCGGCCGTTAGCCAGCTACGAAAATTTACAGAATGGTTTTTTAAAAATGTACAACGGCAATAGCGATCTTCTCTTCATTTATCAACATTACATAATCGTGTATATACTTTGGAGCACTTCCGTTTTATAGTATTAACAATATGTATTTTTAAAAATGTTAACAAGTATTTTTAAATCTATAGTACAAAGCTGTATTATTACATTAAGTCATTTCTAAATTTTTTTGTTTGTTGATGTTGGTCAGTATTCTTTTTCAGTTTTGATGTTTATTGTTTTTAACAGTTCTATTTAAAAAGTTACCAATATTCTAAATTTGCTTGCAATTGAAGGACTAAAACACCAATAATAGATTAATTAAACAAATTGGAAGGTGTAGACTTTCAACTTTAAAGTAACTCTATTCTGTTTCCTCGCAATCTATGCTGAATTAATGCATTTATAACTAAAAATATGTAGAGAACTACAATTTCTTAACAGAACAGCTAACGAATAAAGTGGCCTTCAAAGTGGAGGACAGTCCGCAGTTTTTCACAACAGCTGGTTAAAGTAGTATAATAGTAATATACCAAATCGTTTTTCATGTATATTTGTTATTTATGAATTGTTACTTATTGTATTAGTAGAGTTGGTATGTATTGTTCTAATAAGTATTATATTAGTTATACGTATTACTTCTTACATGGAACACCAAAAAATTTATTATAGTTAATAATATAATAATATATCCACACATTGTGACATTGTCATTCCTGTACATTTATGATACATTTACAACTATTACAGTGTGACCTGCGTAATGCCTTATATTATGAATTCAAGTTAGATGTACTTTTTTGTTTTAAAATACAGCATCTATAACTGAACAATGCATGTTTATTTTTGGGCAAATGACATAAAGTATACAGGACAACCCTCAGCACTATGACCCATAAAAGACATCCTCACTGAATTTTACGTTTTATTTTCTATTTAAATTGGTAATTAATACAAATCCTTTAATTTATTGTTTAACAAAGTAAACAATGTAATCTAAAAAGGTATATGACTATTAAACAATTTTAAACTATACTTTCTCTATGAATTTTAAAGGTAGTGTACAGAAAATTCGCGTTTAGATGTTCTAAAACAGTTTTCTCACTTTTAATATACTACCCTGTATAACATATAAAGTCACAATAGAATCAATCAATCAGTAACAAAGGAATGAAAGGGATTTTTTTTACAATTCCGAAAGACGACTTTTAATCCGGCTCATATTCAATAGCGTGGTCCTTGAACATCTAGAAATCGATTGGCTTGCATTTGACATGTTTCTTTTGGCTCTTCAGAACCTTTTTGTGCCCCTTTACAACTACGTCTTTGTGTTTTTAATATTGCTTACACATACATCTGGTTAGGGTCACGATTGTTATTTTTACGTCTGTAAACGTTTCCCAATTCAGATCCAATTTCATTTTTTATGGTGCGTAGATACCTACACCCTTTACATTAATTATCATTATCACAATGTTATACTATCCAAGTACCGCAACACCATTTGATAAATAAAACCATTGAATGAATAAAGATTCAATGATAATACGTAATAAAAATCAAATAGGTAATGAAAACTTTAGGGAAAGAGTAGAAACTCTGAAAAGTAAATAAATCATTAAGACATCCACTTTAGGCAACATCCACACAACTTCGCTAAAAGTTCGGTGTCTCAATACCATTTTTAAAACTGCAATCCTTGACAAAAGTTTTCAATTATTTTCAAATTTTTGACTAGGATCCCCTTTCTAGAAATTTCCATGGAAAGGGTCTAGTTTCTTAAACGCATGATATGGAGAACCCGATTATTAAAAAATTACGTTAAAAAAATAGTTAGGCCACTATCAATACATCTTAAATGTTGTCTCCTCAGTACTTCCTGTTTTTATTGACAATATCACAATACACCTTATTTATTATTTTCTTACTGCTCATTATGCTTTTGTTTCTACTTTTAGATTTAATTGACATTTTTATTAACTAATGTATCCCCAGACAACAAGTTTCATTTTTTTGCACGTGCTGATAATAATAATTCAAAGCAATTTCATGTTTCGCTGAGAATCTTATTATATTTTACATTGTCAGAATACGAGCGAGTTCTGAGATAATTTTTCTTGAACTTAACATGTTCATAACAGTGGTCAGAGTTGAGTACAACTTCAATGCATTCAAAATATGTACGTACCTACTAGGCCTCTTACTAATTCAATTTATTCTCACTGGTCACTGTTTAAAAATGAAATATGCACTATAAAAAGTGGCTAAATTAGACAAATTTATAGCTACTATTACGTGTAATTTTATAAAAATATAAAATCAGTTCCCCTTCAGTACTCAAAAAGTTCATGAAGGACATTTAAAGATTCTAATAACACCCGCGTAAACCCTAGTGCTTGTGAAGGGTCTTAAATTCTTTAAAATTCGGCTATTGTAAATGCCCTTAAACGCTTAGAGATTATCAAAACTCAAGACTATTGAGGATTTTCAAAAGCTCTTAAATTTTCGTTACTTCTAGGATTCAGCAATGTGAATAAAGCTCTTTGAAAAGTGACGGTGCGGCCGGTAAAGTGACAAGCGGCAGGAAACGTAGTCTGCTCTGCCTCTGTCATGGAAACTAAAATTTCCTGACAGAAAGTAGGTATGAAAATGAAGGTTTCAGGACGATTTTGGGTAAAATTTTTTATATTTCTATATTTGTTTACACGTTTATTTTTTAATAAACTGCATACACTTCGAAGATAGGCGGCTCATTTGAAAGAGGGTAAGGATCTCGTGCCTAGTGGTATTTTTTCCCGGTCCTAGCATTTATATTATTCGCAGGAAAAGACGCTCTCGTCATTTATGTTTGCATAATCACTTTTTAACTTGTTATGTTAACACTTAGGTATATTATATACATTATACATATTTAAATTAACACCGCAATTAGTAATTCTATTTATTATTATCGAAAAAATTGCCCTAAAATGTTACTATCATACGTACTTAGTATTATAATGAACTTTATTGAGTGTCGTGGAATTTTAAACAAAACAATTGCAGGGAAACTGGAAAGGTGTTTCAGAAGGTTTTAATAAAAGAAAAGTCCTTACGGAAGAAGAGATTTAGTTGGATATAGTTAGGCATCTTTTCAACCAGAAAAATACCAAGAATTTATACAATTAATAAAGTAGGTACCTATCGGCGCATGTTGGTATAATTTATTATAGTCACGTTTTAATATTAAATCTTGTAAGCTGTAGGTGGAACATGATTTTTGGTGCCATGTTTTTTGCCAAAGAAAACAAGCTCTTCTCTAAATGGGCAGCATTTGTAGAAGCCGCTTTTGAAATTTATGGGAGAAGTATTAAAGAGAAGAAAGGGTTAGAAGATTTTAATAGTTACATAGTCTTGAGTCTTGAGAACATTATGAAATAATTGATTTTTTAATATAGGCGGGAGATGTTATGTTACCTTCAAGCCCTCTAACATTGTTAAATATGATGATCATATTTGTCAATAGTTTATGTATATGGGTTTTATAGTGTACCTAACTATTTTGGTAAGTAAAAGGAGTTACGTAGTAATTATTGTTTGCTTTTGGATAAAAACCAATTACAAACCAACCCCAAATTAAGCCATTTGAAGCCTTGAAGGAGTGAATGTCAGTTTTTAGTGCCAGTGGTTTTTTTTATTTGGAAGGGTTGTTAGTTCATAAAAAACCGGGTAAGTGAGTGAGTATCAGTGAATCACAATCTGCACTAAATTTAATTTAAACTTAGTTTATTACCTACTAAGTACTGCATTTACGTTTGTAGGTACGTACCTACTTTTCAGGAAACGCTGCAAAGGTTTTCCAAAATTGAGCGGAACATTTCATTAATTGCTTTTGGAATATTAATACAACGTTTGTTTATTTTTATGTTTGTAGTAGCGAAGAGGATAAAATTAGTGTAGGAATTTTTAACACAAAAATCCTCATGCCTGACCTATTGGTATTTTTAATTTATGCCACAGAGTTTAGATCAAAAAGACAATACATGCCTTTTTACCTTGAAAGAATGATCGTCTTCAATGATGGAACATTTTGGGCTTGCATGTTGTATAATACTTGTAATGCTTGGCTAAAGATCGAAGTTCGTTACTGGCCCAATAACAAATGTAACAAACAGAGCATTAGACTTTTTCAAAAAATTATCTCAAAACACTCGCTACCATATTAACTATATAGTGATTGTTTAGTTATACACGTTGCATTTGCAACCCACTTTCTTCGCATGGAAATAGGGGGGCCGTTGGCCCAAGCGAAAGTTGGGTCATGGTGGGGATCTAATCATTCATATTAAAAACATGTAAAAACTAAATTTAGACTACCGTGTTTACATTAGGTAACAGCCGTTTAGTAGGCTTGGCGACGCGACCGATGGTCAAATAAAATTAGCAAAATGCACAGCGGAATATGACGAAACACGTTTCTTTCATGGGAAACTGAGATAAGTGAATATATTTAGCTTTAGTTGTGTCGAAACCTTGTCTGTGTTAACGTCTATAAAAAACTATGTCCACGTTAACTATTGATCAGGACCCTCACGATAAGCCTTGTTGTAATTGCTTTGGAAAACGGGCGCGGTACAAAAGTGAAAAAAGTCTGAACGGACATAGTGCCATAGTGTGCGAAAAACTTGAATTTCCAATGGTAGGTGAGAAATCGCCCGATTTATTCTTTTCTTTTTTTTTAATTTCACGCATTTCTTTTCCGGTGCAAAATGTGGATTACGGGCGTGGAAGTTTCCAATTAATTTCGAATATTCACAAGGTAACCTGCGCGCGTTGCTTTATCTATGACACATAAATATTTAATAATAGAAATGTAATAAATTCTGTTTGACTCATCCATTTCACAACGGAATATGAAGTTTATGGCCGAAACAATTATTTCGCCCCACATTCCCTTGTGTATAGTTATATATAAGTGCGGGTCAGGGACAAAGTGTAGAAATTAGGTAAATCCATGTGAATGGAACGCATTTTCAGTAGTGTTGTTTAATGATGTGAAAACTATGTTCATTTTTGTTTTCCAGAATCGAAAAATTTGTATGATTTTAATCAGTAAAAAAGCTTTTCAGGATTGTTATTGTTGTTAAGCAGCTAAACGTTATCAGTTGTTCACCTACTGATATGCTTATAATATTAATTTAACCAGATCCGGCAGTAGAAGGATTAATTATTTATGTTATCCATGAATGTTGTAGCGCGCCTGCTTTGTAAACATATAAATAATGTATCGTTAGGGAAGGTATAAGGAGGTCTGCTACATAATAAGCTTAGGAATTCATACCAACTTAAATACCAATTTGTCGAAAAAAGGTGGCAATTTAATTTACATTTGATGTGTTGTGAGGTGTCCCAACAAAAATTTGCACTCAAAAATATACTGCATAATAAAGCATATTTATTATTATTATTATTAAAAAATGCCCGAAAACGTTAAATTTGTATCGAAGATGTGTGTACTTCATTTGCAATTTATTTCTCTAACAAGATTTAATCTTGGTTTTAACGGTCCGAAGCGGACTAATAAAAATGAATCGGATTGCTTAGTCTTAGTCAGTCAGAATTAAAATCACTTTCTTTAGTTGGAATGTAAAAGGCATAAAGTTATAACAATTTTACTTGAATGTGAAGCTAAGAAAATGTAAGTAAACAACCTACGCCTCCCTTTCATTCCACCAATCCCCCGAGCTGTGCACTCACCTTTTGTTTATCTCCACCTAAGGGGATCAGATGAAATATAGATTTCAATAGGTACCTATACGAATTGCACGTGTTCGATATTTTTTGGTACTACTACGAAATCTTACTTATTAGGGGTATTTAGTGCAGTCTATTATAGTTACTCGTCCAAATTTGGTAGTGCAGTTTACGTTTTTTTATTGCAAAATTCCTGTCTAATTAGCTACTTGGCTAAAACAATTTGTATCTGTGATATTTTGTTCGATGGCAATGTTAATATGTTAAAATTCCCATTGCTAAATTGCCCTTTACATTTTTCACTTCATCATGTGGGTTTTTTCCGATGTTAACCATAGGAATATCGGAAACCGCGGAAAGAAATGGTTAAATGCGAAAAGAATTGCAGTTTGCAATTAATTTACTTTTTGCTTCTTAGAAAATAAACAATTAATATTATGGCGCAATCTCGCAGAAACATTTTTTTTCAATGTCTATGAAATTATCTCTCTTTTTCACTTTTTACTCAAAATAGTAGGTAACTTTTGAACCAGAAACTTGATTATTTGTACCACAAATTACCTTATGCGATTGGGAAGTAATCCCTGGCCTTTTCGACAATCTATCGTATATAACCATTGGTAAAGATATAACCCGCGATTTATTTTCATTTCCGAATTCCATTGTTATACTCAGGCAGTGGCGTACGTAGAAACTTATTCTGGGGGGGGGGGGATTAAACAAGTTCGTGGCACATACAGTCACCCAGTGCGTACTAGAAGGGGAGGGGGGGGGGGGGGTAAGAAATAGAAATTGGGTTGCAGGTTGCTGATGCTGGTAGTCATTTATCTATTTATTATTGTACAGGCGAAAAAGATTAGATTAGAACGGTATTTTATTTCTTACTGCTGACAGGCCCCTTTATTGCTTTTGCTTTAATTAGTCAACGAAAACTTTGAATAATAGGTATATTTATGGGCAAAAAACCAATTTCGACAAAAAATTCAAAGGGCTGTAACTTTTGATCTAGTAGTCCGATCTTGGAACTGTTTGAAATTATGGATTCTACAGGCCACATTCTATAAGAAAATATTTTTTTCCGGTCGATCTGAGAAAATTTTTTTTCTGGGCAAAAAAAAGGCAGTTATTACCTTTCTTTTTTACCAAAAATCGATTGCACCAAAATTTCTCGGGAAAAAACTTTTTCTTATTAATTTGGGTGCGTAGAATCCAAAACGATGCGTACTTTTTCCATTAGACGTCTCAATCAAAAGTTATGGGCAAAAAAATTCCTGTTTTTAAAATTTAAAATTCTTATTTTCGTCATTTCGTGAAAGGCAGGACGCAGGTACCTCACCTCGGTAGCAGTACTAAGTACCTGATACCTATTTGTTATTTTGGGCATCAATATGTAGCGAATTGCCGATCGATGCCGAATAGCCAAATCGTTGACTGCTAACACTGATCACCAAGGCAAGGAATAATATGCACTTCAACATGTAGAAATATGCGCATATATATGCACAAAAATAGTGATAATTATGCACCAAATATGCATCATGTTCTTTTAAAATGCACAATTTTTCCACAAATTTTGGTATTTAAAACAACAGGTTGCAACAACTTCGTAGTATAATTTTCAAAAAAAAAAATGCACAAAATATAACTAAAAACTAATTAATTTCAACTTACACTACCCTTTGATAACGAGAAGGAAAATGCTACTAAGTAGGTACTGCTTCGTAAAACTCCAAAGAAAAACTGATAATTACGGCAGCGACTACAAATGCAGACGTAAAAACTGCAAGCTTTTTATGCAATCATCGGAATTTATGACTCACTAAGATACACAAAACCCGCGGCGTCGACTTATGAACAGGAAAGTGCAAAAGTTTCTTGCTTTTCAATTTTATAATAGGCCAGAGACAAAAATTCTTTAGAAATAACTACACAGGGATCAAAAATGCTTGAATATGCTCTTGATAATCTTTTATGCACAAGGGCACTGAAATATGCAAAATATGCAAAAATTAATTGGGTTATTTGAACAAGTTGATCAGCCCAGATCCAAAAGCACACACATGGCATATTATTAATTTAAAACATGCATTTGCATAAAATAACTGCCTTGCTGATCACTAACTGAGTAGTGAATACTGAATACTACAGAATATTTAGATTTTAGTGACTTTAGACTTTAACCAAAACCAAAATTGCTCTCTATATATACCTATATATTATTGCCTTTATTTTAAAGTGGGCGGAGCGGATAGCGGAGTATTACCTATAAATACCTAATAGCTATGATGATAACTGAATTCTTCTGGGGGGGGGGGATATATCTCCTTCATCCCCCCTGTAAATACGCCACTGTACTCAGGCAAAAACAGACAGCAAGATGTTATTACGGGTAGCTTAGCTTAGGCTTAGGAGGTATGACAGGTAATTGTTTACAATACAACTAATTTATGGGCATGCCGCCGCGCCGCCGACTTGCTTACCTGAATTATCCAAAAAACACTACTGTTATGTAGGTAAGGACACAACTTTGCGTTAAGCCCTTAAAAGTAGGAATTCCCTAAGCAGATTTTGAATTCTATATTAAGAGAAAGTAAAACCTGTGAAGGGGTTACACAGGATACACGGAATAAAATAAGAAACAAGCATTTACCAGTGTGGTGTAGGTACAATCTAGCAGCGTTAAAATAGATGAAGAAAATGAATGAATTGAAGCTCCTTTTATTTTAAATCCTATATTTTACAAGATTATTTTAAAAAGTGAGGATAAAGTAGTGACTCAGTAGCAACACTGCCCTTCTCAAATACAAGAGAATGCTACGTCAACAGGGAATTTACATACACTTAATGCATATTGAGTATTTGGAGTTATGAATCAAAACACAAATCCACCCATGTAAATCAGATTTACCAATAAAGGATCTAAAAAGATCTAGATCCTTTTGGGTGGATCTGGAATCTTGATCTAGATCCTTTATTAAGTGTGGATTTTTGATCTGGATCTAGATCACGCTTTATAATGTATCTGGATCTGTATCTAGATCCATAATTAAAGGATCTTACCCAACACTGCTAATAATTCGGTTATTGTCTATAATAATAATCTCGGTAATAATAGTTTATTGCCATGAATGAATTCCTTTATTGTCATAAATGTAGAATAAAAACATAAAATATTTTACTATAATGATAATAAATGAAGGGCGGGGACGTCTTTTACTTACTACAAAAACCATTAGTCAAGGGCGTCCTCCAGCATTATTTAAAATGTAAGTAAGGCGTAAGTTATGGAAACGTGTCCTCTTCCTGCCTCCCTTTCGGTCTCTTCCTCCTCCTCCTCCTGGCGGCTTGTACTTCGGTCTGATTCTTTCTCCACCTCCAGTACTCGTCTGTTTTCTTTCTTCATTTGTATTTGTCTCTGCTCCACTCTTCCCATCTCTCTATGGGAATCCCCAAGGCCAAGTCTATACTTTTTTGTGCACTCTCACTTCACTCACTCCACGCAGGAATTGTTCTGTCCAAAGTGTTTTTTTCACACTGGACTCTTAACAGTCTGGCAACCCCTCTCGCTTTCGATACACTTCGTTTACCTACTTAACCTTCTCCTTTACAAAAACACTAAATGCTAAATGTTTCTACAGGTTTACCTCATTTATTCTCTTTGGGAACATACGGCGGATTTTTTTGAACAAAACTAAACGTTTCTTCTATTCTTTAGCACTCATCCCGTGCGAAGTGTAGACATATAAATCAGTCAACTACGAGCGACCAGCATTTTTTAACTTATGTCATTTTTGACTTGTTGGTTGCATTTTACTATAGTTCAAACCTAGGTTCAAACCTGGTTCAAACAGTTTAAATTGAAGTAATACACGAAGATCTGGAAGAAATAATTATCTTGATTATTGTTGTACCTACAAATTGCTAATTTTTCGGGCCGATCAAAATAATTAATTCCATCGTATTGAAGGAAATTATGTATCTGCACTTGAGCTTTTGCTCAATGTCAGAACCCTGGTCAGAACTAAACCTATAGAATCCGTGCACTAATATACGAAATGTGCGCAAAGGAAAAAGAATTTGTGAGTAACCAACGACCACGCATTTGCCATTTGCTACAAGTACGTGACGGCAATACGTCCACTTTTATCCCCCATATGACATTGACATTGCTAAATCACTTTTGCACAGGCTATTATGAATATATATATTATTAATGTTACAAATTGCAATTTCCCCACCCACCAAACGTTTGGAAAAAAGAAAATTATTCCGGATAGCTTTGTAATGGTGAGCAATGCAGGATGATAATCAATACGGAAACGTATAATATCGCCAGTAGCGTAGGTTTAGTTTGCTATTAGATGACTGTATTCAAATGGGATTTCATTCGAGTCCATTTCTATTCTCTCTTATCTTCACTGTTTGTTAAACCCAGTTTTTAGATTGTAACCATCTAAGTGCGCCACTGTTATACGTATACGTATCCATTTCGCGTATTTTGTTCACGTAATCCACACGCTTTCACAACCTCACCTTATAATTTCATTGCGACGATTCATATAACGATGCGAAATTTTCAACAGCCCGTGGCGTACGCCGAAGATCTTCCTAATGCGCTTGCCAAAGGAAGTACGATCGTCGTCAGCGGATTCATACATCCAGACTGTTCAAGGTATTATCGTCACATTACCAATTTTCTTAGTCACCAATTCTTTACAGATTTGCCATTAATCTCACCAGCCCCAACAAAAGTGGCGACGTCGACATACCCCTTCACTTCAATCCGAGATTGGATCGCCATTACATCGTGAGAAACTCGAGGAAACGTGGGCGATGGGATGAGGAGGAAACTGCGTCCGCTGTCAAAAGTAATCTCGAACGAAACAAAAATTTTGAAGTGGTTGTGTTTGTTGCGACTGAAGAGTTCCTCATTTCCGTTAATGGTGTTCATTTCTGCGGGTTTTCTTTTCGATTTCCGCTGAATACGTGCAAAAGACTAGAGATCGAAGGCCTGGTCGATGTCAGTCGGGTGTCGTTTAAGAATTGGTCTAGTTACCCCGAAGACAACCCGGAAAGGATACCACGCATAGAATTTGCTAAACAAGACGAAGAAGCTGTTACCTCGCAGATCCTGGTAAGTGTTTACGCAGTACGCCATTTCGAATCAAAAATCAATCAATTATTCTAATCGAAATTCGTTGAAAATAAGTAGTTAATAATTATTGCTTTAAAACCGCATCGATTTCCTCGGGTTTCCGATAAGGTGTAAATATAGCCTTCATTTTTAATTGAGCACGTGTAATCAAATTCGGCGCGATTATCTAACTGCACTCTTATTTAGAGTTCCGCCGGTCTCTTTATAATTCCGTTAGTATGGAGCATTAATCCCCATTTCCATCCCGGCGGTTTGGGCGGTTTACCGTTTCTTGGCCTCGTTTTCTTTTGGTCGCAGGTACCTATTCCATTCATTGTGATTTGAATGTTGTTTTTTGGACAGCACGCGCCAAACATGTCCCAACCATTGTCTTTGACTTTGACTCTTCTCGATCTCGTTCCTTCTCAATGTCATATAATGCATTCTTCTTTTCATCTCATTTATATTATCACTTATTGTCTCCATAATTTTTCTTTCAACAACTCTTATCGTGTGCTTGTTCTGTACTTGAGTCGTATTAGCGTTTTATAAATTTTAACTTTAGCTTCCTTTCCTATCGATCCGCTACAGAGTTGCCTCTTGGGTCACTATATGATATTCTGCCTTGTTTGTAATTGCGATTATTTATTTATTGATTTCTAGACCTATTCCACTAACTTTTCCATTAGTTTTCTCATAAGCTACAATCTGTTCTCCTCTTTATAGTTACGTCACAGATTAAAATAGTATTTTGTCTGTGGTAACGCTTACGGTAGGTACGGTTTTCTCTAAATTGGTGTGATAGGGATCTTTTTAGTTACTGTCTTTCGCTTTAGCTTACTATTTTTATCCCTGCAATTTTTTAGTTTTCTTGGCGTTAGTTTGCCCTGCAGATTCAACCCTCCGAAGTAAGATGTCACTACCAATACGGTACAGGATTTTACCCGCATTTCTAATAGATCCGTTATCACTTTATCAGCCACAATGCTTGGCCCTTCACCGATTTCTCACCTTGGTAACAAGAGGATACAAAAAAAACGAAACTTTAATTATCAACTCCGCTAGTGTTTAATTTCAATATTTTGACTTTGATGATTTCATCAAAAGATATACTTTCCCGTTCGCGTCCTTTCGTTCTTCTACCCTCGGTTAGAATTTAGCTGAAAATCTAGCCATCCTTTCTCCTCTATTTTCTTTACTCTATCACTGCTTTTCTTAAAATTAAATTTGAGTAATAAATTGGTGCCATTAGAAATACTAACGCCCAAAAGAATAATCTCTGGTTTATCTCGCTATGTTATTCTTATAGTTCTGAAATAGTCCAGTCTACTCTGTTACAGAAAAAGACTACATAGAAGACTTTTTTCAGCCCGTCCTTACCAGGAAAATCTCAGCTTTTTCAGCGTGTTTAGTTTCGATGAACCCAGTAGACTCCGTGGGCCCAATATGTGCTGACAAACCCGGAAAATTCGTGTCACTGCAAAATTATACGTCGTTTAGTATAAGAACAGTCGCAGGTAGCCGCCCGCTGAAAAACATATGTCGTTTTCTTCACATGGGTTAGATAAAGATGAAAATATAGTATTTTGTGTATAACTCACAGGCGACCAGTTTTGCAGTGGGCGGCTACCTGAGATGATTGAGGTGACTATTTTTATACTAGAAGACGTTTAGTTTCTCAATAATTCGGCCTTGAAAAAAGCGGTCCACAAGATTCTCTTTTCGGAAGGTTCGGCTCCTGAAACCAGTGGAATGCTCGTCAAAATATTAACGCCCAGAAACTCCCATGAAAGAGCTCTCAATAACATAGGGGCCATAGGACCACGTTGTGGCCCTCTAAAAAGTCTTTTCGATTAAAAAATTTAAGTGTAAACACCTTTTAGAGATTAAGAGCCGTTAATTGACCTTTAAAAGCTGTTATGGTTCTTAATACGGTTTAAGAGTCTTGAAAACCTTCGATAAATGCTTTAAAGTCTTTAGAGCTATTTATGGGCCTTTAACAGGCTTTAAGAGCTTCTGAGTTTCAAGAATTCGTTAAGAGCCACTCAGAAGAGTTCCTAAAAATTCTCCGCTCTCGTTAAATATCGAGCTGACCGTTGCGAGTCTTTGATGAGTAGTCTTAAGTCACCTTTAAGAATCAGTAAGAGTATAAGAACAAGCTTTTAAATGTATTTATTAGTACTTATATTTGGGTTTTTAAGAATTTCGAAAAGTTTTCAAAAGGCTGGAGAGATTTTTAGAATCTTTAGTACACACTTATTCTTTAGGAGACTTTAAGAATCTTAATGCTTAAGAACGTTTGAAAGCTATGAGTCAAATTCACTTCCGGGATGCGTTGAAATACCCTAAAAACTTCGGAGATCCTCTGAAATCCTCGAACTTCATTGAAATCCTTGGAGATCGCTGAAGAACACATGTAATTAAAGATATTTTACATCACAACTCATACTATTCGATTACGGAATTCATTCACAAGAACTTACCTTGATCTTCTAGCTAGCCATTATTTGACAATATAATATCAAACATACTTCACGTACCTATGTGGACTGTGATAATATCCAACTCACATGTTATTGCTATTTATGTTGTTTGTTATTGTTACTGACGTGTCCTATACATTTTTATATGTCTACAGGAAATAAAAAAAAAAAAAAAAGAAAAAAAAAAAACACTTGACATCCCTTTAGATCGCCGATGGTTCTTCGTGGAGATCGCTTGAATGGACAACGAACCAGTTCTTTTTTAAATGATAAAGAAGCGTTTTATAGTGATTTTTATTTAAAACAGCAGTTTGACCCGATTTTTGATTCTTTATTTATTTATTGTCTCATCTCTTGTTCTGGTTTTTAGAGGTGCTCCTGCAGAAGGTCTTGAGTTGTTCTACTTACTACTATTCCGGTAAATTTACCTTACGAATTAAGAAAACTACAGCAAAACCTAATTCGGAGTATCCGGCAATAAGCTCGCAACTGATCCAAGGAAATTCCCATCTCTGCCAGAGATGAAAAATTCTTACCAGGTTCGAACACCCGACCTTCCGGCTATGTGGCCCAACGCTCTACCATTGAGACAGAGATAGCCTATTCAGTCCGGCACGCCACAGTGCAGATCGATTCCAGTGATTAATTTCTGGGTCTTTGCGTACAGAAATTCAGTTTTCAGGAATACCAAAACCCCCCAATATCTCGAAATTAATTTTATTTTCTGTTGGGACGTAATGGGGAACTCAAGGGCAGAAATTGGACAAGGGGAATAATTTAGAAATGCTCACGTTGACCAATAAATTAAAAAAAATCGTAGCTTAGTTTTCGTATTGCACCTATATAATTCTATTTGAGAAGTGAATGGGAAGGGCCGTATTTTCTCTACGAATTTGCTTGTTAATTTCTGCAGCGTTTTTTTTTCTTTCAATGTCTAAACAAATAATGAAGTTGATACATAAAATAATCCAAGGGTAGAGAATACCAACAGAATATCATCCGCGGATGTGCAAAATAATACCATACGTGTTACACTTGCATTTTATGATTAATTAGATAGACTAGGTTTAATTGAGATTGGGGGAGGGGGAGGAGGGCCATCATTTTTCTAGTCCGCCATAACTCCCTGAATCTGTTTCGGCGCCTGGCACCGTCAATCAATCCATCTCATTTAACCAAACTGTGTGCTGTAAAAGAGGAGTGAAACATTTGCACTTCTGCTTTATGGGTGCAGATTAGGAAACAAGAGCTCTACAGATTGACCAATTACTCTTTCTCTACTCTTATACTACGCCAGGAAATGCTTTTTTCTGTCAGGTTACTCTCCCTGTCCACGATACGTTGGGTTGCAGCAAAGATCATACTACACCACTGATCTTTGGTTGCAGAAATATCAATCGTACCCAGTAATGATTTTCATTAAAAAGTTTTTAAACGTTATTGGTACTAGGTTTGTGCTCTTTGTACCGCTCTAATACCCTGATGCGATTGGTGGGATTACAGAAATTTTAAATGTGTATTTAAATGGTACTCGTTCTCAAAACCGTTTGTGTCAAAGAGAATAATTATGATTATCGACCATTTTCCCTTTGTACCTAGTGATTTTTCCTAGGAAATTTTTCTATGGTTGAATTTTCTTAATTCACTAATTACATGCACGACTACATGATGTATAAATTACTTTCGCCAGTGTAGGCAGTTATTTGTAGTTGAGTCATACATTTTTCCAAATTTTCAATAATTATATTTAGATTACCTAGTTATCTTCATGTTCAAACATTTTCAGAGACTAAATTTCGTACAGATCAGAATTTTCCTCATCGCGTTATTTGGGCCTAGATTTTTTTACAAAATTGCAATGAGTATAACTAAAAAGTCAAAAGAGTCCGTTGGAGGTCCAACTCAATACTGGAACACCATCATTCTCGTATCCACATGACACTAATGCCATAGTGCTCGTTTTGTGCCGATTTGTGCGCCAATACTCAGGTTTTGTGTGCCATTCTTTTAAGAATAATTCATTCACAATTCTACAGGGGGTGCTAACTTAACCTAGCAGCCCTTACAATCAGGTCGACTTGAAACCTATGTCATCGTTTTGTGCCTATTTTGTGTTGATTATTGTAACCAATGTCCAGATAATCGAGTCTCTAAATACCATTTACTTATTAATAACATTATTAGGCATTGAATTAGGGCCTCCGGTGGCCAGGGGAAATCTCCCGGTATCTCTCCTGTCCAGTCCAACCCTGGCAATATATAGAAGTATGTATTGATTATATTGGTAATAACCCAAGAACATTTAATTAGAGCTATAGAAAATTACCACACTTTCCCATTTCGGCTTTCTGAAACCTTACCAGTGTAGGCACGATTTTTTTTACTCCTACGTGTAAAATCTTTCCAAAGATCACATTCGATTTTAACATATGCCCCTGGAATTTGCATAGCTTCCGAATTGAAATTCAATAACCTTTCATTAACGCCAACCGAAAGTATTTCAATGCAAATTACTGTGGCGATTATCAAGAATATTATCTCGGAAAATAAACCCTTGGTATTTTCGTAATTTACGTCCTTAGAATAACATGTTTGTAAGCTGTTAATACCACATTATACGAAAAACGAAATGTGGAATTCGTTTAATGCCACTAGAAATGCATTTTGTATTTGTTTCGGAAGTGGCAAATTAGTTCCTGCAAAAATGCAAATTGTAGCAATATGTATGAATTTTCCTATGTAAGAATGCGTTGAATATAGTACTCGGCTGCAGTCAGACAGTAAGAATAGGTATTTATAAGTTATTATTACTTTTGCGTGTCTTTAATAAATACCATTATCTTATTCGTATATGCAAGGTGAGATCCAGTAGGAAATTACTATTTTTATTTTACACCGCATTAAGATGGCATTCTGAACAAACTTCTCATTCTTAAAATAATGAATTTTGGCAACCAGGTACTGGAATTGTACCAATTTTGAATGCACTTATACAGCATCGGAGTTCTGTTTAATCTCAAATAATTTATTTGATTCAAAACTCAGAGATAAAAAATTTTAAAGATCTTGGGAAAAAATCTCACACCTACAATTCGGAGATTTTTCCAAGAATTCGCTGTGAATTCTGGCGGCTCCAGATTTCTGCGACTTCCATTTCGAAGCTCGAAAATTTCATTTTGCCAAATTATACTCACATGAAGAAGGCTACAGCGTAATACATTTTTAAACATTTATCAATTAACGATACGGAATGGATAATTTTCTTAGTCATTTTCTATTTCCAGAATAGAAACATTATTGAATTTTTGTTATAATCAAGCAATCCTTGGTCCAATAAGATCCAGGCCTATTTCTTAATAAACTTCATACGTTATGCCTTTCCCGTGTGCGTGAATAAAACAAAACCTGGGGTAGATTATTGATTAAACGTAGCGAATCTTTTTCATAAGTATACGACTCACGCACATGGCAAAAAGCGTTTTCGATTTGTCCAATAAAATAGAACAACAGGTTGTTACGCGCACCCCCACATAACCCTACTTTATTGCCTAATTGTAAAACGAAACAAAAACTACTTTCAGGCGCTGCCTTACACCGGAAATTTGCCAGAAGGATTCGAAGAAGGGTGGCAGTTGGAAATCAGCGGACGTATCAAACTTTTACCGCATTCATTTTACATAAATTTACAAGATGGAGCTCAGCTGTGGCCTCATCCAATTATTTTCCTGCACTTAAATCCCAGATTTAGTAAGTCTATATCATTTCGCTAATATAAAGTAGAGAAAATTCGTAGCCGCAGATAAACGTTCGCGTCTCTCTTTTCATTTCAGATACGTCGGCCGGCGAGAATGTTTTTATAAGAAATGCACGATATGGGGATCAATGGGGTCCAGAAGAAAGAACCCGAATGTTTCCATTTACTCCCGGATCACCATTTACAATTGCGATCCGGCGAGGATTTGATCGGCTTTCCATTTGGGTTGATGGACAGTTAAGTGGTGAATTTAAAATTGAAGGACAACTTACGGGAATTAATACTGTTTATATACAGGGTGATATAGTGCTTTATGAAATTTTTATGCATAAAAAATATGTTGAGTTCAACAAATGAATGTTTGTTTTAAATGTTTTATTTATTACACATTTTATACAATTACTTGTTGATTCATGAACGATATTAATCTGTTGCAGAGTGTAATAATGACGTATAGAAGAAAAATTTAAAACGGCGGGTGGATACCCAAAAGGCACTGTTGAAATATGGGGCAACGAATTTTTGTTCAAACATCCTATGAGAATTCAGGTTAACAATCAAATCTCCGTAAAGGATACGAGCGAATTGAAATGAAACCTTATTAAGACAGTTTCCTATTAAGAAAAAAATTCTTTGTTTTAACTTATTTGCATAAAAATGAAAAAGTTTTCTTTCATTTTTATTTGAATATCAAGTTGTTTAGATAAGAATATTAATGAAGTGTGCGAACGGTTTAATTAAAATTGCTTAGTAAATTTTCACCGAAATTATTCCCTTTATGAAGAGTTTTCGTACAGAAATGCTCATAATAATTTTATGTAATCAGCAAATGGAGCCATACAACAGAAAAAAGGGCTTTTTAAATTTTAAACTCTTAACCTTTTATTCGCTTGGGAGCGGAAGTTTTATTCAAAAGGTTTGTCAGATATGTACCTATTACGCACTTTCTGTACAACGTGGAATTATTGCTGAAATGTAAATATATATATTCCTATTCCTGTAATGTTTCACTTTTCCTGAGTTTTCCTTTTTGGTTGGATATACCCCTTAATTGCAAAATTTCTGCACCCTGAAAAATTCTATTTTCAAATTTAGAACTTGTACAGGTTGTCCCAATGGCCTAATAAGAAAAATCTGTAGGAATATTCACATTCTCGGCCTACTTACAAGAAACATCGATTGCACTTTGCTGTTTCGACCCAATTCAAATATGTAGCAACCTGGACAAGAGAATGTGTTGAGTTAAACGTCGAATTATCCAAGATGATGAGATTTGGGAAGGGGTGAGAAAGGAAAAGGCAGGTAGAATGGAAGTGGAGGGAGCAAAGAGTAGAGGAAGTAAAGAATTTAAATATTTAAAATACCAGATGCAACGAATTAATGGATTAAATGCTCAAATGAGGGAACTAAGAAAAAAGGGGGAAGTGGCGACGACCGATGAGACCGGTGAATTCAGAATAAGAAAATAGCTTTTTGATGCAGTGGAGGTGGAAGGAATGGGCTAACCTAGAAGGAATATAAATGAAAAAAATGGATACGGATAGGTTAAGGTCGAAAAGAGGAGAAAAATAGGGGATAAGATGGAACATAAATTTACAAAAAGGTACACATACAAGTAGAGTAACAGACGTTGAAAATCGAGAGCTCACGAGGAAACAATAGGTACAAAGGATTGAGAACGAGGGTTAGATGCTATGGGAATGTAGAGGTGAAAAGAACAAGGGAAAGCAGGAGTGAAGTGCTGAACGAGGAGAGAAGAGGAGAGGAACGGATGGGGACACAAATTTTAGTTTTCTTTTGTAGTTGACTTATTGTAAAAAAAAACCACTGAAGTCATTATAAAGATTTTGAATGACTTCTTGGATATTTATTTAGTATAAACGGGAATCTTTTTTGTATCTTATGGAAGCCTTGTTAGAAACAAACTTTCTAGGAACGTTTTTCTGGGAATGTTGCCAGAGAACCTTTTCTGAATTTTGGGAAGCTCCCTAGATATCATCTTCACAAATTTTAAAAATTTTGCGAGAGGTAACCCTTTTGGAACTATGTACAATTTAAGGAATTTTCTCTAAAAAAAAACGTTTTGGAAATCCCTACGATTCCTTTTTAAAATTCTCTTTCTGAAAGTCTTTCTAGGAAATTGACAGTAGGTATTTGTGTAGAAACTGTTTAGCACTTTCTAAGCAGTTTTTTAGAAAGGTTTTCGAAATGTTTAGACATTTCTTAGAAACTGTTAAGTTCCTCTTAAGAAAATATCTTAGGAACTTCTCAGAAACGTTTCTCGCCTGCTAAAAATCTTCGAAACCTTTTAGGAATCTTTTGCCCTAGTCACCGTGGGTTCATTTAGTGTCGGTTTCGTCAAAATCATCGGCTTCGGTTACTTTCTCGACTCCTTGAACTCTCCATTGATTTTCTGGGTTTTATAGTGCTTTTGAGTCTCTTTCATTTACTACCTTCATTTATAGGCGCATGCGCATGCTAGGGATATCTGTGAATTTTCAAACACGCTTCATAATTTGCGCATCTGGAAATAGCTACTTGAAAATTTAAACTTTACTACGGGAATTTTCATAAAAATCCTGTCAACAATTAGGCTTGCTTAAAAGAACCAGATATTCTGCAACTACTGCAGTAATGGTATTTAATGTCTGACAAAAATGCGGTTTTAGTAGACAATCCGCCACGGAACTCACAGAATAATTTTTTTGCTGAAGTATTTCATTAACATTCTCCACCACCAAATACCAAATAAATTCTAGTTGTACGAAAATAATCAGGTATTTTAATGAACAAGCTAAAATAACCCAAAAATATTTAAGCGATTCTCCAATAGGTTATTTAATTTTGCCAAAATTGGAATAAAGATGAAAATTAAACAAGACTCTAATTTATGCATATTCATTTTACGAAAATTTCCAATTCCATTTCAATTTCAAGGAACGATAAATGAAGGTGGTTTACCAAATGGTTCGCGAGTTGAAGTTTATTACGCATGAAGAATTATTGTAATTACGAATTGTTTCAATGTAATTTTCGTCCGGTCACAATGCAAGTTCGCTCTAAATTCACAAAATTATTCAAAACAAAGCAGTGCACTAATAATACTACATAACTAACTACGTATTTTCAGCACTCTCTCTCCCAATTTAACAAATTTACATGATTCGCCCATTTAATTTACGAGAAATTGCTATGAGAACTATGAATATTTAAATTGCAAAAGTGCTTCGGTTTTATTAAGAATAATAAGCGACGCTCGTGTAATAAGTAAATCCTGTTGTTACACCTTCGCGAGCGTCTTATACACGTTTTGCAATATTAATTAAAGTCTTCTGTTGCATGTTAGCTACTTGCATATTATCTAAAATTTCCCAATACAGAAATTATGCCATAAAAGTACAAAAGAAGGCGCGATATTATGCTAATATATCTCCACGGTAATTACGTGCTAAAATACAGGTAAAACTCGTTATTTCCTTAGGGCAATTTCCATTTATTAAGTTCCTCAGCTTTAATTTTTAGTTTCCAGATCTAAGTACTGCCTTTTTATTGTTCTAATGCAACATTTATTATATCTAGTAGACAACGGCACAGTTAGTTTCAAATTTTGTCGCAAATGAATGGATAATGCAACAGAAAGGTTGTAACGTACGTAAGTCGATCTATTTACCAAGAGGTATGGTTTCCCCCTTGTTAATGGGGTGATAAATTGTATATACAGTGATGAAAGTGCAAGAATGTTAAATTTTTGAAATATGTGGCGAAACGAATCATACAGCTTACTATCAGAATCTAACGAATCGTTTTGTACCAAAAAAAAATTTTTTTTCGCGCTTGGCAAGCCCCAAACAATAATTCCATACGACAATCTGGATTGAATTTGAGCAAAGTAGGTAATAATTTAAAGTATGGTCCAGATCCATTAATTCTTTATGATTCTGTATTTGGTAGCAATAAGTGTCTAGTCCTTTAATAAGGTTTCCGCAGTGACATTTAAACAATTTAAATTTTGATCCAAATAGATTCCCAGTGCCTAGAATATGAACGTTTTTATTCAGACTTGAGTCAGACAAATAATAAATATTACCAAAAGTTGTAAACGGTAGGAAAAAACGGGTTATCATGATTTAAGAATAATTTGTTATAATTAAACCAACTTCTGAGCTCATTTAGAATCTCAATAGCTTTTGGATTTTTCATGCCGTAGTGCCATCCGCATACAAAACCAAGCAATTTAAAAACATAACAAAATCATTAGTAAATAATAAAAATAATAGGCCCTAAAACAAATCCTTGTGGAACCCCCAGGCAAAGGTGTGGATAAAAATTTGAAATGAAGAAATAATTGTCGATTTCCCATTGCAAAACCCGTGTTGTTTATTACTTACAATGTTATATAATAACAAGGTGACGATTTAGCCTCTCTAAGATGATTCAAAGGTCGACTTTTCCAAAACCGTTAAAAATTCTGACTTTCTACGAAAAATATATGTTACCAAAAAATCTTTTAGAGCTAGGTAAACCACATCAAGAAGCGTTTGTAACATCAAGGTTGTTACAAGGAGCAAGGAAAGCAAGTGAAAACATAGTAATTACAGTATTCCTAATTTGTACATTGCATAGCTGTCCAAACTAATGGAAAAATTGAAGACCCACAGCGAACCTTAAATTCGGATTCAACACTCCCAAAAAGTATGCAAAAGGTCTAGAAAAATTAACAATGGACTGCAGTCTCTATTCTTATATAATTAATTTTACTATTTGTTTATCGCCTGTCGCGCAACAGTTACAACCCTCAAACTTTTAAATGGGAAGTATGAGCAAAAATTGCGATTAGGTCGGTCACGCTGTATACGTATAGTAAATAAGATTAGAAGACATTTCTATTTGCCAAGACGTTACTGTGAGCATTTTGAACATCTACTTCATTGACATTCATTTTTTGTTTTGTTTTGTACATTACTTTAATTTTTCCCATTAAACAACTTGGGGGGTTGAGGGCAGGGATCACATTTTCATGTTTCGGGATTTATGTACAGTAAGCGAAATAATGAATTTATTCTATTTGGCTTTTCCGCACTGGATAAAGTAAAAGTACTGCTGTTTCATTAATTAACACAGAAGGATTTTAAACATCAACCCAACGTAATTGGCTAATTGTAATGTAATCAATCACTTTGAACGAAATGAGTAATACACCCCGCTTATAATAATACAAAGAGCACATTTTTAATAGAAACATCTCCAATTTCCACCACTGTAATAACACGCGGTGTTTATTCACGATTTAGATTCCTAAAACGAATAATTAATGAAAGACTATTTCTCTAGGCTGAACTGGCTAGTACCTAAATGTTTTGATACCCTTAACTGTGTAGAAGCACGAGTCCGTAAGGAAACTA